TTGCCTTTAAATCTAAGAAATATTACAAGAAGAAGTAGAATTGTCTAGTTTAAGAGATATGAACTGTTTAAATAAATACCGGTGCATGTATGATTCTGTTGTCCCAATTTTATCTATTTGTTTTAACCTACAAAGAAAAAGGGATATGGACCACACTAGCAAAAGCAAGCTACACAGCTTAATCAATTCAGGTTGTTCATGTAAAAACATAAAACTATAGCCCATCAGAGAAGCTCTTAATTTAAAAGAATTATTTCCATATGCTTCAGAGTGCTGTGGGTAAAAGTTTAAGTCTTCCTCATTACCATACTCATCTTACATCTACAAGAACTTTCCCTCTTGAAATAATTATGCTTAGTTCTCTAGGGAGGAAAGACTGAGAGTGTCTTCTTCATCATGGACCCTATCTTTCAGAATCTTAAAATATTTTTAAGAAATGGGCAAATAAAAATAATAATTTCAACTGTTATTATTAATATTCTTAACATAGCTCAGGAATGTATCAGTCCTATTTTTCATTGATAGACACAATACCCAAAGCCCACAACTTGAAGGAGGAAAGGTTGATTTTAGCTCGCAGTTTCAGTGGGTTCATTCCATGGTCTTTTGGCTCCCATGCAAAAAAAGCATGGCAGAAGGATATGAGGAAAGAAAGTAGCTCACCTCATGGCAGCCAGGAAGCAGAGGAAGCAGGCAGGAGTAGGGGATAAAGTTGTACCCTTCTAGGTTGCACCACTGTGAGCAACCTCCAACCGGGTCCCATTTCCTAACAACACACTGAGCTATACTCATCAATGAATTAACCCATTAAGTATATTGCTCCCATGATGTAATCACCGCTCAAAGGCCCCACCTCTGGACAAATGAGAACTCGGGGGAATATCTTAGATCTGAAACAATGAGAAAATTTTCACATGTGTTTTAGAACCATTCTTGACAGCACTCACTAGCAACTAGGACTGAGTATAAATTAAAGACTTTGGTTTTGATAAGACACTTTCGATCTGTGTTCGTTGCTTCTTTCAGACTTACTGACCGACATATAAAAGGAGAGCACTGGCAATGTAGCTCAGTGTGAGAGCATGATGAGGCCAGGGAAAAAAGGAGGAAAGGACAGGTCAGAGATATTGGATATTTGTGGAACATGTAAAATATAAGGATCTTAACAAAGAAAACTTTATTTTAGTAAACGCATCCTCACCTCATATGAATCCACTTTGAATTATGTCAAAATAAATCCCATAAAAGGTAACATTTGCTCTTTTCAACAATTAATTTTTAAGTGTGAATCTACTCACGTTTGCTATACACTTTTAAAGATTGCAATTTGGTTAGTTTAGCTTCATCACCTTCTCTTTTATTCTTTCAATTAGTTTTTCATAAAATATGGGGCTTCTTTGCATAAAGCAAATTACATGGTATTTACTGTAGGAATTAACATTCATATTAAAATGTGTGCTTGTTAACATAGTTCCTGACAGTCTACAGTAATTTGGGCGACAGGGGACAGGAGGGATGAAAGGAAGACTAGAGTACTACCCTACATCCTCAATTATATTTTCCATGGTTTCAGTTACCTGCAGCCAGTCATGATCCAAAAAATATCACATGGAAAATTCCAGAAATAAGCTATTCATAAATTTTAATTTTCACATCATATTGAGTGATGTGATGAAAACTTTCACCATTCTACACTGCCTGCCTGTTCATCACTTGGTGGCTCTCTTAGTTATCTGATCAGCTGAGGAGATGTTGCAGAGTTTGTCTTTATTTCATAATGGCCCCAAAGTGCAACTAGTCATGCTGGCAACTGGGATATGACACTGTTATGATTTATATCTGGATGTCCCACCAAAGCCTCACCTGCTCAGGGGTGGGACTTATGGAAAGTGATGGATTACAGGGGCACCACTGCTATCTTGGTGTGAGACAGTGGAGTCCAGACATGAGGCAGGTCATTGAGGGCATGATCTGCAAGTGCGAATTTCCTTCCCTGGCTCCTTCCTTCATGTTCTGCTTCCTGGCTGTAATCAGGTGAACAGCTTCCCTCTGCTATGCCCTTCTACCATCCCTTCCTGCCTTGGACCCGGCCAACTACAGACTAAAACCATGAGCTAAAAGAAACCTCACCTCCTTTAAGTTGTGGGTGTCAGGTTCAGTATCTCAGCGAGGAGAAAGTGACTAAGACAGCTCCCTGTTTATGATGAGGTAGAAATGATTCATAAGTATAAAGAAAAACAGTGAACCTGGGGTTCAGCACTAGACATGGTTTCAGGTATAAACAGAGGCCTTGGAGAGTATCTCTCATGTTAAGGCTGACCGCTGACTTCCTCTCTCTTATACTTGGCAATGACTCCCTGAAAGCTGACCAGACCATGCCTCAGCGCAGAATTTCTCAGACAGCTGTACATTAATTTTATATAAGAATTCATCTTGAAGTGATGCATAAGGAAACAAAATGGACATTCACTGTGTTTATTAATACAAACTCATCATATCTACCAGTGTTCATGAATGCTTAGGACACAATTTACACATTTTAGTGGGAGTAGGACCACTCTATTTGAGGTTTATGAATTCCACAAGAAGGGTGCCTTGGGAGAGAACAGCCAAGGGTTGCTGAATGTTTTGGGAGCCAAAGAAAGTAAGGGCTTCTATTAGAAGAGAGGACATTAAGATTTTTAATACAGGATAAAATTAATCTATTTCATAATTCTGACCAGAACTCACCTTGAGCTCAAAATGCAATAGCTTATGCATATAGAAAAGTAACTAACCATAAGTTCATTCAGTACATCCATTTTCTTGACCCTATGTTATACTACCTAATGTACTTTTCACTCTAGAAATCTAACCAGTTATTTAGGGGAATAGAATTTATGTATATGCATATTCTGTATACCATCCTTTCCTGAAACAATGTTCTACTCTCAGGGGGCCTAAGGATTTCTCATCCATAGAGTAGCAATGTCTTTATTTCTTCGACTCTTTTGAATCTATCTTACTTTTACTTTTGTCATGTGAGCCTCGTAAATATTCCAACACTATTCATTCCTTCTTCCCCGAACTATTGCTACCATATAGATAATAGCAATGATTTCAATTGACATATAACACATAGGCACTGTATATCAAACTATATCATAAAACACACATAGACATAGAGTTTCACTAACACAGGGAACATTCTGATGTTAGTGCTAGCAATTCTTATGCTAACTACAGCTATGGCAGCTATAACTATAATAATTAAAAATCAAGAAATTGTAAGTTCCAAACAGCAAACACCAGCAATTAATTTTCCTCAGTAAAGATAGCCTGAATGAGTAGGCACCATACATATTCATGCATAATCACATTAAAAGTATCTTCTCAAAGTGAATATATTTTGATACAAACTGCTATTGATTATTGAGCCACTAAAGTTGTAATGAGTTTTGAAAAAGCATTGTAACCATCAAACCTAAACATATCTCTGATGATAACAAATGCAGCCATGAGTTTGCAGATCAAAAGGAAAAAATGCTCTTGATACATTGCTGTTTGTTTTAGGCCTCCACCTCTTTTTGAAGAAATCTCCAAGAGACACTAAAAAGCCACTAGAATGTACTGTATGTTAAAGCTTCTAGTTTAACTACAATAGCCTCTGGGAAATCCTGGATTATAAATCACTGTTACAATCTATGCTCAGAAATCTACCTATTCATATTGTTTCTGAGAAGGATTGGTGCAAAGATATATGTATTGAGCTTCATCTTTAGAGATGACTGTCCAGAAAATACAAATATTTCCCCATAAAAGGGGAAAAGGAGAGAAATTTTTCAGCACTTTTCCATTTAACATGTAGAAATTTAGACAAATTATCATATTCTTTAAAAAATGAAGTGACAAAAGTGTCTAATTAGTATTAGAGTCAATGAAAATTTTATGAAAAGGGCTTTGAAAAATCTGAGTGTTTTAAAACTAAAATATGATTGTAGCTATTGTTTTTCTTTAAAGTTGTAAACTTCATTATTTTCCACTTTTATGTAGCTGTGCTTTGGTTTTCCATTTGTCTTCAAGAAGTCTGAAGAATATTCTAAAAATGTATTTATACATATAAATATATATGTATAAATTTGTATAAATATATATGTATAAATTTCCATTGGGATTATTAGAAGTCCAGTTAGCTGCTAAATTTCCTAATCTCCACCTGAATAGAAGACACCTTTACCCTTTAAAACCATACAACAAACTCTGATGTTTATGTGAGTGGGTGGCTTTGTAGGTGAAGGGCAAAGTTAAACATATTACCTTGGCCATCTACCGATTAGAGATGTCAAGACACACACAGGAAACAGAAAAGTGAAGTTATTTTAATATGGAACAGATATTAAATAAAATGAATGTAACTTGTCCTTTCTTTCTGATAATTCATAACATGAAAAGTAAAAAGCTTTTTACCTTCAGTCACTCAGTTATATATTTAGGGGTAAACTCATGAAGGACAAGAACTATATTTTAATTTTTTCTTTTTCCTTCAGAGCATAGCACAACTCTTCACATATACCAGGCATTTAAAAGAAGGTTGAGTGAAATATCCAAATCTTTGTGAAATGGGAAACCACCCCCCACAAATATACTAAAATTTCTTGAAATTATTAACTAAGGTATTTAAAAACACAAATGAATATGAATGAATGTACACACATGTACACACTCACAACACCGAAGACATAACTCCTACTAAGAGAAATAAAATTATATGAAAGTATGAAACTGGAGAGATATAAAAATACAAAAGAAAATTATTCAGAAGCACATATTTGAAAAATAAATTAATTTTCAACTTTGGTTGGTGAGAAGCAAAAGTATTCAATAATATATTCTTCATTTTCAGTAAGCTGTTTCCAGGAATTGATTATAGTGAATAAACAAACTCTGAGTGGCTGTGTGATTCATATTTATATTGAGATCTTGACTTATCACGTGTACTTGGGTAGGTCGCGTTACCTCACCTATGCCTGTGCGTCTCTGAAGGGACAACACTGTGTGCCTTCTCATCCACCTCCTCTGCAAAGATGCTCTGCAAATAAATGAGGTAATGTTTGGGAAGTGTTTGTAGCCTGAGATGGAAACCCACTGCATACACCCCGGGTATTCTTCCTATTCCACATTCAAGCCTGGTATATTACTGCCTCGATCTTAAATGGAAATTGCACTGTTTGAGTCCTTGAGTTGTGACCAATATCTGGGTCGACCAGAGAGCACGATTATTTTTAATTTTAATACTGAGATTCTGTCCGAATTCCCTGCAAGTGTGGAAAAAAAAAAACCGTAAGAAATAAACAAAGCACATAAATCATGCTTTGAAAGAGAAAATCCTCTCTAGAAGGATTTGATTAATTTATTTTTTTTTAATGAGGCGCTTGAACACTGTATCTCCCTGAAGGAATATTTCGGTCCAGGAAAGATAACGCATGCACTGTGTGTGTGTGTGTGTGTGTGTGTGTGTGTGTGCACGCGCGCATTTGTGTGCGCGCGAGTGTGTGTGTGTGTGTGAGTGTGTGCAGTGCGTGCGCGCCCGCGGAGAGAGGGGCGGGGGAGGCGGATGAGGAGGATGAGATCATAGTTTCAGGATCCTCAGGAAACCCTGGTACTGGCAGCAGCCAGCCTCTGCTGTGCCCACATGACCCACAACTCTGGCAGCGGACCCGGCACTTCCAACATTATTAAATAATAAGAAAGCGGTTCCTACTCCATGCCCGAGCCTCCCTACAGACCAATGGACACCTTCTAAGAGTTTGGTGACAGGCGCCCGTCCTTTCCAAGGTGTGTGCACGGCGGTCTCTCCGCTGACAGCCCGGCGTGGGGGAGGGCGCGGGCACCGA